AAAAAACAAACGCACATATTATCCTTCTTTTGTACACGCAATACAAATTTTTCCTCCGATGTCTTCCCCCTCTGTTGTTGTTTTTTTTTTTTTGAATGTTTCGATAATAGATCAGATTTTATTACATACATAAGTCAGTATGAACGAATTCAATATGATTTTTTTCTTTTTCTTTTGCATTCCCGTTATTTTCATCGTTCTCCAGGTTTTATCAAAAGGGATGTATAATTCGTTTTTTTTTTTACATTCGTTATAGTTACATTCTCTTTCTTATTTATTTTCTCTCTTTCCCGATTTTTTAACAAGTTTGAATTTCCTATTAGTGTATGCTTCCTATATCTCTCTTTTTCCTTAGATATTTAATCAAAAGTTATTATTTAATATTTATAATAAGAATCGTGTGTGTGTGTACAGCGGTAGTAAAACCACGAGCCGCTCATTCGGTTCTTTTCAATCGGCATGTTTCAACGATTCAATTGTCTTTTCTTTTACATCCTTGTCCCGCTGATCCTCCATTCAATATTGGCCCAAGTATTTAATATTGTACCAGTTGGTTTCGACGGGTGATTGTCACCTTCACGGTCCCTGTAATTAAAAAATTATTTCTGAGAGTAGCGCTGGTTCCCATCGTCGATCCACGTCGATACAATGCCAGTGAATTATTGGTGTGCAAATCAGGATTGCGTTAAACGAGTGTCTCAGTACGTTAATAAATATCTGTTAGATAACTGATCTAAAGCGTACTTCCACATATAAAGATTGCACGATGAGTTGCAAGTGTGTGTACCAGCATGTACTGTATCTAGTATCGGAAAAAAAAAAAAAAGAAAAAAAAACGAAGCAAACAAAAGGAAAAAAATAAAAAAATTGTCATTTTCGAATCGAAGATTCATCATGACGTTTCTGTTTCGGTGTATGTTCCGATAACATTCTTTAAAAAAGAAAAAACGATAAAAAAAATTAGGTTATTGAGCAGCAAACATAATATGTTCGCGTCATGGACACGAGAAAAAAGTAAATAATTTCTTACAGAAACCTGTGCGCGTGAATGTGTAAGCGTACAGTGCTACAGTCGAATATGCTCTGAAAATGTATGCTTCCTATTTTTTTTTTCTTTTTACATTGAAGAATGGAATAATTTTCACCAACTTGTTCGTGCTATCAAAATAGGAGCAAAATAGGAAGCAAAATATTCCAGCCGCATTTTCACACGAACAACAAATATCGACAAAGCGAAAATCAACGCATGTGAAGAAGCGCCTATGTAACAATATGTAGATAACCGTGTGTATTCTCGTTTTTTGTTTTTTTTTTTGTTGTTTTTTTTTGTAGTTATTTTATACTGAAGTTCTGTACCTTATATCATATTGTCTTCCACAGGTTTCGCTTTTAAGGAGATACAAGAACGTGTCAAAAATTGTGTCACATATCGTTCTTTATAAGCGGAACAAAAAATAGAAAGTAACAAAACTTTCAAGCAACGTACCGAGCGAACATCTAACCGATCGATATCGGTAATATCGGTTCTTACCTTCTCTGATATCTTTCGGAACGTTAGACGAGAGCGACGGCATGGAAGGAGTTTGATAAAGATTGGGCCGCGCGCCTGTTGGTGGCAACGTTGGCGTTACTTTGGACCTGATATAAACAAATTAACATTTTTAACATTTTTCGTTTCCTTTTCCAATATTTCCAATATTCGCAACAACAACAACACGAGTGTGTGTTGTATCCGGAAAAGTAGAAGGAAAAATTAAAATCACCTCTGTTTACGAATTTTCTGATTTCTCCCATCGAACGATGTGGGTGTACCAGCGCCTGAGGTGTTCGACGAATAAGAAGGTGGTCGATACGGTCGTGGACAACCTTGAACAACAGGTGGTGATGGTACTGGCGCATACTGCAATCGCGGATTAGCCGGCACTGCGGGATGCATCAATCTCATATCTCCTGGAGAAGTAAGAAAAATCGAAATCCGAATAAAGATTCGAAGGAAAATTGTTTAAAACGAATATATCACACCTTGGACAATATGGACACCCTGATACATTGGCAGTGGGTAGCGTGGTTGGGGTTGTGCGCTTCTGTCCCCGCTCCCACTTCCGAACAACTCGTGTGCTGGAGTCGGCGACCTGCTCGTTTTCTGAGAATTACCTGGCGTTGAAGCTCGTACACCAGCAACGACCTGATGATAATAATAATAATAATAATAATACAAGTTTAGAATAGTTACAAGATTTTTCTCCATTTCTCGTTCACGATAATATAATAAACTTACGGGAACATTTTGCCTGAACACGAGATTGGGAACCAGCGCAGGAGTCATGTAAGTTGCAGGAGGCGCTGGAGATGTGCCATTGTGCCCGACCTGATGACCAAACGTCCCATTGGACACCATCGTTGGTGGTGGATAGCTGCCGGAGTTGACATACATCAATGGCACCCCGGGCATCTACGTATCGACGTTTTACAGGATATTTATATATACACTTTTTTTCTATCTAGTCGGTAATCGAGTTTAACAAATGCGTTTAAAGCAACGCAAACTACCTGATTAGAAGTTGGTGTATTCGGTGGTGTCGGTACTCTGTACATGACGGGTGGTGGTTGAATCGTAGTTTGACTCGGTGGATAATACGTAGGGACCATGTGAACCGGTGGTGGCTGATACGTGTAATCCGCTGGTGTTGGTGTCACAGCGGGCATCGAGTTGTAAGGGACTGGATAAGTACCCACGTAATTAGCTAAAAAAAAAAAGAAAGAAAAAAAATAGAAGAGAATCAAATGATATTTATTATATAATTAATTATAAGAAATACGCGAATAGAAAATAAAATTTGGAAAAAATGTTAGAAAATCTACCTACAATTCGATTGGCTCGGAGGAGTCATAGTTTGTGCATTGAATGAATAATTTGTTGGAAATCTTTGTTGCTGATGCAACTGTTGCCTATCGCCTGGACCTTGGCTAACCGAAAGTGTTGCACCAGGAGGAGGTACGAAGTACATTGTTTGTTGCGGCTGAGAAAAAGTGAATACGAAAGAAGGATAAAAGAGTCGAAATTGTATAAAAATATATATACATATAGAATATATAATATATAAACGTATATATATATTATATATAGAATATATAAACGTAATAACAGTTCGTACCAGTACGGAATTGGGTGGTGGTTGCCAATAATTTTGCGGCATCGTCTGCACATTTTGCACCGTTTGATTCGTGGATGGTTGTTGCGGTGGTTGAGGTGGGTAAGAGTGAGGTGGCGTAGAATGATTATCACCGGTTACGCGTTGATCGTAGATGCTCATGCCCATAAAATATCCGGACAATTCGGTTATCTCGGTTGTCTGCGACACCGGCCCTTGCTGTACCGCGGGCACCGCGTAATTCGCGTAAACCGAATTCTGGTTAAACGCATCGTGGCTCTGGCCATTGCTCTGAACGCTCGTCTGACTCTGACTCGGATGAGGGGCCATCATCACAGTCTGTTGTCCCACGGATGGGGGCGGTTGATAGACACCCTGCTGCTGGTTGAACGGTTCTGAGGTAGGTACGTAGGTCGCGTATGTTTGAGCTGCTTGGCTGTGATTACAAGTTTGCACCGTCGACGACGATTTGACTAGAGTTTGTTGCTGCTGCTGCCGCAGCAGCGGCCCTCCTCCATTCTCTCGGGGTGGCGGCGTGTACGGCAAACTCGGCGACGTTGCCGAGTTCGTCACGTGGGTCACCGTGGTTGCGTTACAAGCTGTGTTGCCGTGCTTGTTGCTAGATTGCGATTTCCTTTTATTCTCGTTCTTGTTGCTAGTAAGTTTGGATGGCTCGGATGTTTCTACGATCTTTGCGGGCGACGCCGCCCTGTTATCGTTGTTTCTCTCGTTCTCGTGAGACGACAACGCGGGCGTTGTATAAAATTTAGGTGGATTCTCCGGATCGAAGCGATAAATCGAACCATCCGGATTCGTATACGGTTGATTCGTTTGCGGGTTTATAATTATGCTGCCGGGCGGCACGCTCGATATACTGGTCACCGCCCACATTACCGTCTGATTGCCCGATTCCGGAGAGGCGAGATCCTGACTAGATACTTGGGTATGACTGCAGGTCATCGTCGCCACGGGGGACGGCGATGGAGACGGTGATATCGTGGCGTCGCTTCGCTGGCTTTGCGATTTATAACCGCTACTCGAAGGGCTAAGCCGTGAACACATACTAGCACCTGAGTCTGCAACAGATTTTAATCTCTGATTTATATAATACGCCTGTTTTCTCCATCTTACACGTTTCTTTTCTTTTTTTTTTTTTTTCTTCTCTCTCCATAAAATTTGAATTTTTGCTTCACGTTTCTTAAAACGTTCTCAAAGAGAAGAGAAGATAGAGAATAGAATATTATTATATCGAAAAGAATTTAAGAAGCGAACCTTGCTTCATAAGGCGAGCTCCTGCACTATGAGTAGATGTAACACTGTCCCCTCTAGAAAGCATTCCCCTGGTATAACCACCGAAGCTAAAGGACTTGGAAACGGATGGTCTCAGTACCGAACCCCGACAGGATTCCCTTCCATCTAAAGATTCTCCTTTCAAGAGCTTGGTTTGCCTATCATAGGTATAGGTAACATGATCTCGCTGATTTATTCGCTTATTCGTTATTTATTACGCTTACGTTAAAAAATAAAACGCAAAAGAAGAAGCGTCTCGATATGATCGATATTCACCTCATCATCGCGTGATCCGACGGATGCAGCAAACGATATCTGGCGGACGCGTCGGAGCTTTCGGAGGAGGACCAGTAGGGCCAGGAGGTAACCTCGCTGCTCTCCCCGCTGCTATCCTTGAATATCCTTCGCCTGGCGCGCTCGTACTCCTCCTCCCTCTCCTCGAAACTCTTGTTCTGCCGGCAATAATCGCCCGACAATCTGTCGGGCGATTTGAAGTTGAAACTGTCCTCGAACGAGTTCGAGTCCCTCTTCAGAATGCTCCTCCTCGGCTCCTCGGACAGGATCAGGTCGTCCCTGATGTGCTCCTTGAAACGGGTGTTCGGTATCCGCATGTTTTTCGTCCTCGTCACTATCACGCTGGAACCGGACTGGTCCACGTTGTGCTCCATACCGAAGTAAGCAGCCACCCGATGCACCAACATCCTGTTGTACGAGGACATGTTCGGGAACTTGTGACACACTTTCTGCTTGTCCCTCGCGAACTCTATCAGATCCTTCTCGATTTTTAACAACACCGTCCGATCCTTCTGATTACGATTTATCGTTTCGGCGATGAAATGTTCCAGATCTATCCCCGTGCTGTCCGTGTACAATTCCGTGCTACTATCTGCCAAGTAAAAAAATGATTCCTCGTTTTTCCTCCTCTCCTCAAACAACGAATCGATCCTCGAGATAGAATATATATATATATACGTACGAGAAAGAGAATTTTACGTGAAAATCAATTAATTAATTACGTAAGGACGAACCTCGCGAGAGGCAAGGGGAGGCGCTGTCGAAACTACCCTGGGAAGAATTCTGATGTCTCAACTTGTGGCGCGAGCCGGGCCTGCTCACGGACAAAGTGTTGCCGCACTGGGCCGACGAGCATTGGTTGTTGCAAATGTTCAACGTGTTCGGCCTCGAGCGTTGCTCCGACCGATTGCAATGCTGATGATTGTTGTTCTGGCCAAGGTTTTGAGCCAGGTTCGTGCTCTTGGGCGAGTGCTGCAACGCCTGGCCGCCGCATTTCGACGGGGACGCGGGCGTTTGAAGTAAACCGGGCCGGTCCACGTTCTGATTGTTCTTCGCGCAGTTATTGCATTTCTGGATCACGTGGGACCCGGTCATCTTGGAACGTTGGCTCTCCGCTGGCGCCTTCCCCCCACCATTGGTCGGGGAGCAGGTTTGATGATTATTCTTTGGCGAGTGAACGACTTGAGAACAGGGACTAGATTGACCTGCGATCAGGAGAAACGTGTTCTTGTCTCTTCGCCTTCTCTTTCTGTGTTCTAAGACGGGCCAAGAAGAAGAAGAAGAAGAAGAAGATTGCCCGTTACAACAATATCGAACGTTAACACGTTCGTCGCCCCATATATGGGTGACGCTTTCTTCTTACAAAAAAAAAAAAAAAATAAGATTTTAACCATTATA